GTGGGCTGACTGCAGCATCATGGCCTCACCCACCATCCCGCTCCACGACTTCACGTGAAAGGTGAGGACACTGAACGCCTGGCACAGAGGCAGCGTGGGAAGAGCACTGAGTTGGCAGTTAGATCCTCTGCATAGCTCTGTGACCTCTCTGGGCTTCCGTTTCCTATCTCTCAAGCTGGGGCACAATTGGTCCATCTCCAAAGGCTCTTCCACCTTTGAATAGTGAGAAGCAATATTTAGCACCTAGTGACATCATCATCAGCCAGCTATGGACAGGGCATGAGGCCAGCTTTATAGGTTCAGACCCCTGACTAGGAGCTGTGTGACCTCGGGCGGGTTGCTTAACCTCTCTGAAGACAGCACAATTGCTCCAGCCCCTGCATGTTCACTCTCTCACTGATTTCCTGCGGACCAAATGACATGAAGGATGGTAAGGATTTTTGTGTCTGTCCAAATGCTGTGGCTGCATCTTGTCCCTGGAGACATCGTGCAGGAGGTACCCACCCTCCCCCTAGCATCATGTCAGCAGATTTCCAACCCCATCCTTAACCTCCAACCCAGAGTAATGCTTTCTAACTAATGACCCTATCCCCAAGAGCTTATTGGGATCCAACAGTATTCTGTCTCCACCAATGTTGGACATAATGACCACTGTTTATTAAGCCCTGGCCAGGAGCCAGGACAGTTATTTAATCCCCATATAGAGATAGAATCTCTTTTCTACACAGGAAGAAATGGAAGCTCAGTGAGGATTAGCAGCTTGTCCAAGCTACTTGTTGCAAAGTTGGATGTGAACCCAGACTGCCTGACACCAAAGCCCACGCCCTGGACACACACTGCCTTCTGAAATCCCCTTTTTACACCAGGCACCTGCCGGCAAGCCGGGTCCTGACTCCGGACCACATGACTCCCTTTTCCCTTTGATCAAACATCAAGTAGCATTTCCCTCCACAAATAGCCAGGGGGACTAACCGTTGGCATTAATTACAAGTCACTCAGGGCCTCACTCCTGCCTAATAAACACCACCACGCCCTCCAAAGCGCAGAATCGGCCATCACCGTGCACGGGCAGCCGTGAAGTATTTCAGCTGGAACCAGTTCTCAGGTACCCTCCCTCTTGCTGGGAAATGGCTGGACACTTCCCTCCAGTTCCCTAGTCCCTGTGTTGGTTTCAAGGTGCCAAGGACAAGTGGATTCTGGAGGGACAGATTCCAGCCTGACCAAGGGAGGAACTTCCAAAGATTCAGAGCCAAGTCACACCAGGGAGCTCTCGGGGGTACAGAGTGTCCCGTCAGTGGCGCAATAGCGGGGAGCAGGCCAAGTGCCCTGTGGGGAGGGATATCCAGGACAGTGCTCCTCAAGGTGTGTGGTCCATGACACTGGGGCATTTGTGAATTCTCTCTCTAGTGCTCAGTGGACACCTTCAGTGAACATATATATGTGCAGCGCTTTATTAAAATCTCTAATTCTACTTGTTCTTCATATATTCATTGAAATTATGTGTGCTCAATCTAAAAACATGGGCTCTATATTGTTCTTTTATGGCATTTTCATGAAATTAATATATATTTTTTACCAAGGTTTAGTTTGGGATGGATACAAAGTAAAAATCGCGCCTTTACCACAGGTATTTTTTTTAGAAGCCCCAGGTAGGATTCGAAGGTGACTACCTCCTGTAGTCATTTTCAAGCCTGGAATCCATGAGGAACTGAGGTTGGGCAGAGAAACCACAGAGCATAAGAAAAGTCTGGATCGACAGGGCACCTGCCTGGCTCAGTCTGTAGAGCATGTGACTCTTGACCTCTGGGTCATGAGTTCAGGCGCCACACTGGGAATAGACATTATTTAAAAAGTAAAATTGGCACAAGAACAGAGGGCCCCCAGGCCTTTATATCCTCTGGCATAATGCCCTTCCATTTTACAGAAGGCGAAGCTCTGTGAAGTCACCCGGCTTGCCTTAAGGCACTCAGTTTCTAGAGAATTAACATTTGTGTCCAGAAAACAGGTTTCTGCAATTCCCGTCGAATTCCCCACCCTAGCCCTGGTAGGCACGCAAAGAAAAACAGAGCAAGAATAAAAGTCGACAACTTTTATTATAATTCACGCATTTTATAGGAAAAACAAAAAAGAAACAAGGAATGTAGCAAACGGGTCAGAGTTGTACCCAAAACAAAAAGCACCAAAAAAAAAAAAAAACTGCAGGTGTGTACACGTGGCCGTATTTACATCGGGCGCAGGTTCCCCCGCATCAGGCACAGCAGCTGCACTTGTCCGACGCGCCTTTGCAGATGCAGCCCTGGGCGCACTTGGCACAGCCCGCGGGACAGCAGGAGCAGCAGCCTGAGCCAGGGAAGGGGAGGGCAGCGATGAGGGCTGGGCACACAGGATTAAGGATTCGGGTGGTCCGGGACAGGGAGCGCTGTGGAGGCAGCACGTTCCCTCCCCCGGCTGAAGGATTTCCCTCGGGGTATAGAGGGTAGGGGTGGGTAGGGGGTGTAGGAGCAAAGATTTCACTCACTCTTCTTGCAGGAGGTGCATCTGCACTCTTTGCATTTGCAGGAGCCGGCGCACGTGCAGGAGCCACCTGCAAGGAGCAAGGCAAGCGGTGACAACTGTCCCTGGACCCGAACGCGGGAATGCGTGCGGGTTCCCACAACCAACCCCTGGGAACCGGGACCCAACTATGAAGTCCGACCCCTTATCGGTAGAAGCGGGGGGTGGGCTGGGGTGGGTGCCTCGATGAACCTAGAGAGAGGTGCACCAAAAAGCTTTGGAAAACAGCAGTTAGCAGCCCCGAAACTAAGTGGCCAGGAAGAGAAGGGGGCATCAGAGATTGCTTCTCTAGCTCTGAACGGACGCGCGGCCCCGGCCCGGATCTCCTTACCGGGGGTGCAGGAGCAGTTGGGATCCATAGCGAGAAGAAGCGGTGGTGGAGTCCGGCGACAGCGGTCCGAAAACGAGCTGGCACTTCGGGGAGGCGTGGCGCAGCGCGGCGGGCCGGGCCGCCTTTATAGCGGGAAGGAGCCGGGATGAGTGCAAAAGCCCGCCCCGCCGGCCGCTGCCTGCACACGTCCCGCGCTGCCTCACCCGCGGCCGCGCGGCGCACGGCGCTGTGCACACGGCCGCCAGCCCGGGTTCCCAGAAGCCGCCTCCGTGAGCCCCGGGCCACCCCGCACGAGGGAGGGCCGGGTGCAGAGCGGGGACGCCGCGTGCCTGGTGGCCGGGCCGTGTGCCCACGGCCCCCGCCCTCCTGGTCTGGGCTTGAACTCGTTTGTCTCGGAACGGGGACTGGGACGGGGATGGGGGGGAGGGGGGGAAATAAGCTGGGAGGGGGTGGGGAACGGGTCTTGGACAGAAAAATCGGTTGGAAGTGCGGACAGATTACAAAAACCTCTTTGTACCTGTCAAGGCTTAATAATTTTAACAGCATAGTAAGCCCATGGGGTGGATGGTTATGGAAAACATACCTATCCAGGGTATATGGAGTGCTTTATTGTGTGATTGTGTGTTATTGTGTGTTATCTGCCGGCTCTCATTTAATCCTGTAATAACTGTTAAAAAGAAAATCACAGGCCTGGGGCGCCTGGGTGGCTCAGTCGTTAAGCGTCTGCCTTCGGCTCAGGTCATGATCCCAGGGTCCTGGGATCGAGCCCC